TTATAAAACCATAAATGCCTTGTAGTCGGTATCACCGAAGCGAACGGATAAGGAATGTAGATTGGCTCATGAGGCTGGAAAGCACTTCAGTTGTTTCGCTTTTCCTCATATGAACATATTTTGTTCCCACGCAAGTCGGTTTCGCTATTGTTTTCGACCAAGTACATACGTTAAATATTTGTCTCTATTGAACAGCTTCCAATCAGCAGCTTTTCAGAAAATGGAAAATGAATCGAGAGTTTGACAGGAACAGCATTCAGATGTCGGAAAGAGCAGAACCAGCGAGTCACGGGTAGATACTGCTTCACTGAGTTCCTCTTGTGCTGCAATCATTTTTAACCTATCTCATAACTGATTATTCATCATGATTAAAGCCAAAAATACTTTGTGGTCGGAATCACCGAAACGAACGTGTATGGAACGAAGATTGACTCATGAGGCTTGACCGCAGTTCAGTTGCTTCGCTGCGGCTTAAGTAAGCAAATCTGGTTCTCAGCGCAAGCTGAATCTATTATTTTTCGACAGAACAGATATATTAAATATTTGTCTGGATTGGACTGCTTCCAAGCATGGAAAATATATATAAGTCGACCGATTTTCAGTGAAGTCAGTGTCTTGTCGCAAACATGCATATAACAATGGTTCTTTTACTCACGTTCTGCGTTTTGGGAGGTGAATTCGCATTTGCCGTGGCCGAAGGAGGTATGGTTTTAGTTAAACTTCATTTAGCAATAATTCTGACACTGTCGAGCTGAGGACCAAAAGAGAAAAAAAGGAGGGTTGGCAACTGTGGTTAGGTTTAACACAAAATTCAGTTAGATTCGCCTCATGATATTGCCGCGCGTATTATGAACATTTTACACGTTTTGCGTGTTCCACCATCGTGCATATCATCAGGAACGCAATGGGATGTTGGGGAACAGTAGCAGACGGCGAAAAATGGGCGATCAGAACCTGCTTCACCCGTTCAGGCAACGGGCTGCAGCGCCATAGCTACGGGTGCTGAAGGTCGAAAATCAACGAGGAAACCACGAAGGTAGCAGTGGGCGAAAGAATCGTTATCCGCTCTGAACAGACGAGGCAAACAATGCAGTGCCACTATACCACCTCACATAAGGTTCCGTTTGAGCGACACCCAAAGCGTGAGGTCACAAACAGAAATTTTAACTCGTTCCACATTCAAAGGGAAAGATCTCTGCTCAGGGGATGAGTCCCCAAGCTGGCGATTTCACATGGCTGCATTATCGTGAACGGAGCGCCAGTAGCTACCAGTTGTGAGAGACTACGAGTGGCCAATTCTACTCAAGTGTCGAAAGCTGACGGGGCCAGACCAATGTTGGTGTTCTTGTAGAACACAACCGGTGTTACAAAATCATGGAACGGAAGCATATAGCAGTCATCAGGCCTATGTTTCAACAGGCTGAACTGATACTCTCGCATAGGTACAGGCCTAAGCATAGAGACGTTATTGACAGTAAGACTCTATGCAAAATTGATATGCACGAGCTGGCTGGGAACAAATGACACTGAGACAGGATTTCCAGAATATCATTACGTAAGGCCAATTACTTCGGACCA